GAGAGGACCCAAATAAATAAAATTGGAAATGAAAGAGATGAAATAACAACCAACATCACAGAAATACAAAGGAGTGTAAAACAATACTATGAACAATTATACGCCAAAAAATTGGACAACATGGGTGAAATGGACAAATACTGGAAACCTACAATCTTCCAAAACTGAATCAGGAAGAATCAGAGAACCTGAATAGACCAATTACAACTAATGAAAGTGAAGAAAAAAAAAAAAAAAAAAAAAATCCCAGCAAACAAAACTCCTGGACGAGATGGCTCCTCAGGTAAATTTTACTAAACATTCAAAGAACCAACACCTATCCTCTGTAAACTATTCCAAAAAAATTCAAAAGGAGGGAAGACTTCTTAAGCTCTTCTTAAGAGGGCAGCAATATCCTAAATCAAAAACCAGATAAAGACACTACAGAGAAGGAAAATTAAAGGCCAATATAAGAACACAGACGCTAAAATTCTTCAACAAAATATTAGCAAATTGGATTCAACAATACATTAAAAACAAAGTCATACACCGTGATCAAGTGGGATTTATTCCAGGGATGTAAGGCTGGTACAATATTCATAAATCAATAAATGTGATACATCACATCAACAAAATGATAAAAACCACAGGATCATATCAATAGACACAAAAAAAACATTCAACAAAATCCAGCACCCATTTATGATAAACAATCTCAACAAACTGGGAAGAGAAGGACCATACCTCAACATAATAAAGGCCATATATGAAAAACCTAAAGCCAACATCACGCTCAATGGGCAAAAAGCTAAGAGTGTTTCCCTTAAGATCAGGAACAAGACAGGGATGCTTGCTTTCACAACTCTTATTCAACATAGTAATGGAAGTCCTAGGCAAAGTGATCAGACAAAAGAAGTTAAAAGGCATCCAAATTAGAAAGGAGAAAGTAAAACTGCTTTTTGCAGATGACATGAAGTTGTACATAGAAAACCCTAAAGACTCCATCAAAAATCTACTAGGTCTAATAAATGGATTTGTCAAAGTAGCAGGATACAAAATTAATATTCAAAAGTCAAAGGCATTTTTATACACCAATAACGAACTATCATTCAGAGAAACTAATAAAACAATCCCATTTACTATTGCAACAAAAAAAATAAGATACCTAGGAAGAAATTTAACCAAGAGTCCAAAGACCTATACTTGGAAAACTATAGAACACTGAAGAAAGAAACTGAGGAAGATACAAATAAGCAGAAGGATATCCTGTGTTCATGGAGAGGATGAACTAACATCATTAAAATGTACATACCATCCAAAGCAATCTATAGGTTCAATGCAATTCCTATTAAAATACCAATGGTGTATTTCACAGATGTAGAACAAACATTCCAAAAATTTATAAGAAGCCCAGAAAGACCCCAAAAAACCTCAGCAATCTAGAGAAAGAACAAAGTTGGAGGGATCACAATACCTGATATCAAGTAATACTACAAAGCCACTGTAATCAAAACAGCCTGGTAATGGCATAAGAACAGGCATATAGATCAACGGAACAGAACACAGAGCCCAGAAATAAATCCATGTCTTTGTGGTCAATTAGTATTTGACAAAGGAGGCAAGAGCATGCAATGGAGTAAAGACAGTCTGATAGTCTTTCCAATAAGTGATGTTGGAAAATTGGACAGGCACATGCAAAAAATGAGAGTAGACCACCCCCTAACACCATACACAAGAACAGACTCAAAATGGACAAAAGAGTTAAATGCCCAGATGAGTGGAAGTGGAAGATGGCAAATGGTGATAAAAAAATTAAATTAAAAAAAAAAAAAAAAAGACTTAAATGTAAGTCACAAAACCATAAAAACCCTAGAAGAAAACATAGGCAGTAAAATATCAGACATTTTTGCTGATACATCTCCTAGGGCAAAGGAAACAAAGGAAAAAATTAAACAAATGGGACCACATCAAACTAAAAAGCTTCTGGACAGCAAAAGAAACCACCAAGAAAATGCAAAGGGAGCACACTGAATGGGAGAACATATTCACTGTTGATACATCTGATAAGGGGCTAATTTCCAAAATACATAAAGAACGTCTACATCTCAACACCAGGAAAACAATCCAATTAAAAAATGGACAAAATACCAAAATAGACACTTCTCCAAAGAAAATGAAAAAATGCTCAATGTTACTAATCACCAGAGATGAAAATTAAAACCAAAATGAGGTATCACCTTACACATATCAGAATGGCTGCCATCAATAAATCAAGAAAAAAAAAGTGCTGGCGAGGGTGTGGAGAAAGGGGAACCCTAGTGCACTGCTGGTGGGAATGCAGACTGGTGCAGCCTCTGTGGAAAACAGGACAGAGTTTCTTCAAAAAAATTAAAAATGGAACTGCCTTTTGACCCACCACTCCAGGGAATATATCCTACGAATCCCGAAATACCAATCAGAGAGAATGTGTGTACCCCTATGTTCATAGCAGCATTATTTACAATAGCCAAGATCTGGAAACAGCCCAAGTGCCCATCAGTAGATAAGTGGGTAAAAAGGCTGTGGGACATTTACACCATGGAACACTATGCAGCTGTAAAAAGGAAGGATCCCTTACCCTTTTGACAGCACTGATGGAACTGGAGAGTATTATGCTAAGCGAAATAAGCCAGGCAGAGAAAGACAAATATCACATGATCTCACTTACAGATAGAATGTAATGAAAAAAATAAACTGACAAACCAAATAGAAAACAGGCATGGATACATGGAACAGACTGACAGCTGGCAGAGGGGAGTGTGGTGGGGTTACTGGATAAGAGAAGATGAAGAGATTAGCTAAAGAACATTTACCTATATCCCACATACACAGATAATAGTGAGGTGATGGCCAGAGGGAAGGGGGAAGGAGTGGTACAAGTGGGCAAAGGGGTGGTGGGTGGGGAAGGGGGGCGGGGAAGTGAGGCCTGAAAAAAATAAAAACAAAACCTTAAAGCTACATATATCAAGATAAAAAATCTTTAAAAAAGTGTTTAGTATAAAAGCCAACACGCAGAGTAAGTACAGTGGGTAATATTTAAAAACATACAGATCAATGCAGCTGCCTACTGCACAAGACTGCTAGGGCTGGGGATCCTGCAACCCAGGTACCTGCCATTGCCCGGGAACTGAACCCTAGACCCTTGGTGCACAGGTGGATAGTCTAACCACTGAGCCAAACCCGCCAGGGCATAGAGTACCAATTTTTATAAAATAGAAAGCAGAGCAAATGTTATATGAGACCATGGTATGCAATCAAAGCACTCAATGTGGGAAACTCTACAAGACAAAACCTGTCTCCTAAACAATAATTTGCAAGAAAAAAAATAAAGAGAAAAGGAGACCTACAGATTAATAAAAACTGTATAAACCTTAAAAAACAGAACCCAAAATAAAGTATAACTGGGAAAAAAATGTATATTTATGAAGCAAAGAGAAATGTGAACACTGATAATATCCAGGAATTAAAGAATTAGGAAGTATTTAAGATTAAGGATGACTGGTGATGACTTTTTTAGGAGGGATAATGGTACTATGGTAATGTGCTTAGTATGTAATTCTCTAGATTTGTATGTGCTTAAAAATATTTTATTTAAAAAAAAAATACAACATGCCTAGCCGGATGTGGCTCAGCAGTTGAGCATCAACCTAGGATCCAGGAGATTGGGGTTCGATTCCCAGTCAGGGCACATGCCCGGGTTGCCGCCTGCAGCCAATCAATGACTCTCTCATCATTGATGTTTCTCTCTCTCTCTCTCCCTCTCTCTCTCTGTCTCCCTCTCCCTTCCTCTCTCTGAAATCAATAAAGATATATTAAAAAAAAAACACAACACAAATGAGCACTACTATAGAAGCATATTTAGGAGACAACAGAAATCATGATGTCCACCTCAGTAGAATTTGCAATCACCAAACTGAATGTATGAAAAGCATTGTATAAGATGCAAAGTGGTGCTCTGGCTGGTTTGGCTTAGCAATTAGTGTTGACCCTCAAACTAAAGGCTCCCGGATTGGATTCTGGCCAAGGACTCGTATCTTGGTTGCTGGCTCGATCCCTGGCCCTGGTTGGGTCATGGTCGGGAGGCAACCAATCGATGTTTCTCTCTTTGTCTCTCTCTCTCTCTCTCTCTCTCTCCCTCTCCATCTCTCCATCTCTCCATCTCTCTCCCTCTCCCTCTCTCCCTCTCTCTCCCTCTCTCTCTGTCTCTCTGTCTCACCCCCCTTCCACTCTCCCTGAAATGCAATGGAAAAAAATATCCTCAGGTGAGGATTAAAAAAATAAAAGATGCAAAGTGCTTTTGGAATACAAGTTTTAATAATATTTCCAAATTTGAGCTATAAAGTAAGAATTCCCCCTCAAAATCAATGTCTTTAAAGAGGGTTAGATAAATTTTCAGAAAAATGCCTCTTCAACATACACACATGAGAACAGAAGACTTACTACCTTTACTATCTGACTAGATAAGGTAAGTACGTAAGTATACTTTATAAACACAAGGCATGCCTAAACTCTTCTAGCATACCGACAACAGGATATTCCATTCATTAGAGAAAAGATCATAATAATGTGCACCAATCCCAATTAGATTTCCTCTCTCAATACCATTACCAAATAAATAAACTATGAGATCTCAGATGAGGGATAAAAATCACCGAAACCAACAATGCTTGTGAAACAGTGACTGGAGGGAAACAGGGCAGAGCTGAACTTGTAAACCAAAGGGAAGCATATACATGGTCAAAACAAGACAAACCTATCACATTAAGACACATCATTCACCGATCTCATGCGGGGGAAAAAATCCCTCTTTTTTAACAGAGCCTTGGTTCAGTGACTGACAAACATTACCAGCACTCAGCAAGAAATGACCAAATTGACAAGACCCCCTAGGTTGACACTCTACATTGGGACTAGTTACCCTTATCACCACAACCATTTAACTTCCATGTACATAACTTAATGCTCAATTCTGTCTTACAAACCTTATAATTCTGATGCGATTCGAAGTTGGAAAGTGGAGTATTGCATGAAGTGGAAAAGGGCATGACTTTCATACCTCTATAAACAAGACCTTTATCATAAAGTTGTTTGAAGACCCACCTAGCAAGCAAAGAGACAAAGTTTTAGAATAATATATAACCAAGTATGTTTCCCCAAAAGCAAACATTTATGCTGGGTTCTGTTTATAGAGTTTGTGTCAACCAAAGACATGAAAACACAATGTCTCTCAACTGAAGATTTGCTAGTAAATTACAAGAGATCAGAATAATGAGACATTATGTAGATATAGAAGTGCTAATATCTGTTGACATGGAAACATGTTCATGATTGCTGTTGACTGAGAAAAGTAATTGACATCATACCATACAGTAAGGAGCTAATTATGTAAAACTGTACATATCAGTATACACATTTACATTTTTCAGGAGTGCTGAAAAAATAGATTTCCACTAATATCTTAACTATGGCTGGCATTTCAGTTTTTGTTTTTCTAAATAGTTTTCTGGTGTATTGCTTCAATTTCACTATAATGGGCAGTTTTACACCACTGGGATTAGAATCAGTGTTTCTCTACAACTAGCCAAAAACTTTTATTGAATACTTAATCATGTTGATTTAAGCTAAAAAACTAATAGGACACTGCAAAGGTCAGTAACAGTCATCCCAGGTTCTCCTGTGACTACTCACCTCTCCCAACTGGATGCTAGAATGCACTGGTGAGAACTCTTATTTAATTCTGCCATTTTAAAATTCATCTTTATAGTCCAACTCCTCCTATGTGCCTGTCAAATAAATGAAATAACCCTCTCCCCTTTGCTAAAATACATTTTTATGAAAACTGTGTATTTTTCATGGTATTCTTTGATTTAGACAGAGCACAAAAAGTGATGTCTTATAAATTTCCCAAGGTTAAACTCAATCTTAAATTACATACTTTTAAGTAGAGCACTCATAGAAGACTACAGGAGGACTTGGATTAGCTATCCTAAGACACAGTTTTCAAGCCTAAGAGTCATAAAACTAGCTGTGTGATCGCAGGCAAATCATGACCACTTGCCTTTACCTCAAACAGGGTCCTAACCCAATCCATAGGACTCTGAATCACCCAGAAAAATTTATGTGGAACTACTTTATATAGTCAAAAGAACCAACTTAATCTAAATTATCACCATTATTAATGCTGTCATTAAAGGTATCTCCTATTTTTTTGTATTCACCCTAGGTCCACGTGCCTTATTTATATGCCAAGACGTTCCTCAGGAACACTAACACCTTAATACCAACAGGCTTCAAAAACTGTTTTTCCTGAATTAAGAATGTTTTGTGTAAATTAAATATGTAGAGCTGTATTTTCCAACATGTAGGTAATAGCCATAGGTGCTCATTTAAATTCATTAAAATTAGAAATTCAGTTCCACATTTAAGTGCTTAACAGCCCCAATCTAGAGCATATAGTACCTTCTTTTTCCGATGTTTAACATGAACCCTGGTTTTTAGATACTGTAATCATGAGGACACCAGCAGCTCAGTGAATAGGAAGCCCCCTGCTCAAAGTCCCTGGCATGTCAGAAAATCTGATCAGCTTTTACATTGGGTACATGGGTCTGGAGATGCATCCACAGGGGTATATCAGAGTCAAAGGCTCTGAGAACTGCCCCAAGGTGTCTTGCTCCTCAAAGGCAACATGTGCGAAGCATGTGCAACAGATCCCAACTAACAGAAATGTGAGTAGGTAGACAGGAAGGCAATATGAGCCACAAGCACCTACAATGCAGTGCAATGGAAGTGCATCCTACAGAACAGTGCTGCAACTCACCTGAAATTAAGTATAATTTACCAGAGTTATGTACAGAAGGCATTTTACAACCCTAATAATGATGCCTGTTTACCCATTGATAATATGTAATGATTTTCAGACTATAGTAGCAGGCTCAAGTTAAATCACCTATCAAGACTGGCATTGCAACAACTATCTTATAATAAATAAAACCCATTTTGAAATGGTTATTGAATAGTAACTGCACTATACTCTTCTCTTGGTATAAAATTCAAGTACACAATCTCCTAGACTTACTTCTTTAATAACCAACTTCGGAAACCAGTTTCCCTAAATTTTATACCAATCATTTTGGCAAAAAATCTTTGATATAAAGCCATTTCTATTTCTTTCTCACTTATTTTCAATTACAGTTGACATTCAATACTATTTTATCAGTTTCAGATGTACAGCATAGTGGTCAGACATTTCTTTAACTTATGAAGTGACCCCCTTACTCTAAGTCTAGTACCTACTCTACACCACAGTTATTATAATATTATTGACTATATTCCCTATATTGTGACTATTCTGTAATTACCAATTTGTACTTCTTAATACCTACTGTATTTTCCATATGAAAAACTGTAAGGCTACGTCTGCCCACCCCTGTATAACAGAATATTCATTATATTTACAATTTCAAATAAACCTACCAGACAGATTCCATGAATTCTGGATAGAGAGTTTTGTAGTCATTGTCAAAGTCAATCCATCGGCCAAGTCTGGTAACAGTGGACTTAAAAATGTAAATGTTAGTTGTTAGAGAATGATATTTGTTATTGTACATAAATGTGTTTTACTTGTTTATCACCACATGCAATGACTTTGGGAAAAACAGGCCAATCAATGATTCAGGTAAATTTATATTGCAATCAACACGCTTTGTAAGATTAAGCACCAGATTTCTGTGGCATTCATCCTGTATGTGAATGTTATTTAAAAGTATAAATATGCCTTTAAAGTCTACCCGAATTACCATTTGGGAAACACTACAGGTATAACTGATGCTGGCAAGAATCAGAATAGTAAAACTACTGCAGTTAAAGTATGAGAAAGAGGATATTTGCAAAGAACCTCCCCACAGAATTATTATTAATTACAAAGGAAAAACTCCAACTTTACAATGAAGAATCCTGACAGAGATCACCTTAGAAACCAAAGTCAACATAAGCAATGAGACATATCAGTGTCATAGACCTCCTGACATGACAAAGGGTATGTCATCACTTCTGAGACATCCTTTCCATAAACGGAATCACAAATATATATTAGATATGCAGGAATTTTGTTTTTTAAAAAAATGCTTTTATTGATTTTTTTATAGATAGGGAGGAAGTGAGAGGGATAGAGAGATAGAAACATTGATTGACTGCCTCCTGCACGCCCCCTACAGGGGATCAAGCCCACAACCTAGGCATGTGCCCTGATCAGAACAGAACCTGTGATTTCTTGGTTCATGGGTAGATGCTCAACCGTTGAGCCACACCGGCTGGGCTACTGAAGGACTTTCTACAAAATAACTGGTTTGTACTGTTTGTACAACGTCACTAAAAGTGACAATGTCAATCCCTGGCCGGGTAGCTCTGTTTGGTTAGAGCATCATCAGATGGTTGCGGGGTCAATCCTCGGTGAGGGCACACACCACCACCAATGAATGAATGCATGAATAAATGGAACAAAATATATACATATATATATACATACACACACAGATGTTTCTCTCCCCCTTCTCTCTAAAATATAAACTAATTTTTTTTTTAAAAGGTTTAAACACAAGTGACAAGGTCATAAATGACAAAGAAAGATTGAGGTCATGTTCCAGATTAAAGGTGACTAAGGAGGTATGACAACTAAATGCAGTGTGTGCTTCTAAACTTGTCCTTGGATCAGAAATAAATATCAGAGGAACTGGTCAAATCTGAATAAGGTCTAATGTAATGTATCAATGTTAATTTCTTAATAATCTGCTTTTGGTAATTATACTACGGTTACTGAAGGTGTTAGCTGGTGAGTAAAGGATATAAGGAAAGTCTTCATACAACTGTTGCAATTTCTAATAAGCTTGAATTATTTCACAATGAAAAATTTAAAAATAAGGGGGAAAAAACCACCCACATGAATATTATAATCATCAGGATTTTTCCCTACTGGAGAACAGGCAGGGAAAGTTAGAGTAAAGAAAGGAGAAAATTTAGAAGCTTTGATTTTTCAGATTGATGAAACAAAATTTTATTCACCAACAAAGAGAAGTCACTCTATGTTCTGAGCAGGGAATAGCAAGATGAGCACAGCCTTGTGGGAGAGAGAACTTGACAGGCTGAGTGGGAAGCCCATGAACAAGAGACCTATTAGGAAATAGTTATAGGAATGAAGAGGTGAGAACCTAGGGAAAGGTTGCAGGAATGAAAATAAATGACTAAATAAGAGATATAAGAGATACTAAGAAGACGTGATATAATTTGACATTCAACTTGATCATAATAAGGATTAATGTTTGAAGCTAGAGACCACTGGCAGAATAGGGAATTCTGAACAACATCAAGTTTAAGAAGTCAAAGTGGTAAGACAGAGATGATGAAAAAAATAAAACCTCGACATGGTTTTAAGTTACACAAACTAATTAATCAGAAGTCCAGGGAAAAAATAGGGAGTTGAGGATCTTTGTTCCTAAGTCCTTAAGAACAAGCAAGGGGATGAGCTCTGACAGCACTTGACAGTTACTTGGAAGTACCAGCTGTGGGAGCATTATTACTAAGAGAAGCAGGCAAGATGGGAGTAAAATTCATGTAACAATGAGTCCAAGTTAGAACTCATTTTAACATTTAATTTTTTATCTTTTTTACAATATTCAAGTTAACCTATTTGCTAGGACAACCTGATTCCTGTCATAGGCTGTGGGCAGGTAAAAGATTAAATACGGAAGACTAATGAAGCACATAGAAATAAGAGAGGCTTCAGTTTAAGCTACAGTCTACATATTAGGGTTGGAGGTGGAAACAAAACATTCCTTTAAAAAGCATGGTTGACCCTCTGCCTGGCTGGGTGTGACTCAGCAGTTGACCATCAACCTAGGATCCAGGAAATCGAAGTTCGATTCCAGTCAGGGAACATGCCTGGGTTGTGGGCTTGATCCCCAGTCGGGGCGTGCAGGAGGCAGCTGATCAATGACTCATCATTAATGTTTCTATCTCTCTCTCCCTCTCCCTTACTCTCTCTGAAATCAACAAAGATACATATATATATTTTTAAAAAAGGATGGCTGACCCCTCTTATAACCTCACATGAGCAGCCATACTTTTGGGAGCAACATTAAAGGCACAAAGGACAATAAACCATTTCAACTCCAATTTAAGTGAGAAGTTTTTGTTTATTTTACTGAAAATAACTAAACATACCTTCCACTCAGCAGAATATCTCATCACAATTGCTCGGCACTGATTGTTATATTCCACAATCCCCATTTTGGCTACATCTTCTGGTCCTCTGATTCCCAGTATCTTATCAATTTCATATTCCTGAAAATTTACAGTAACATTGTTAACCACCCTTCTCTATGTAACACACCACAGGTAAGCCATGACAATCCCATCCAAATCTTCTGTCAAGCCACTCTGGTGAGCTTATCTTGTAACTATCTTTAATAGTGCCCGCAAATATATGTCCACAGTGAGGCAGTCCAGTTGCAAAAGAAGCCCATCATAGAAAGTAAATCTAACAATACAAATGCAAACAAATGCAATTCAGCAACTCTAGAAAATAAAACATATTCTAAAAAAGTAGTTCTCAAAAAAAATCTAGAGAAAATCAACTATAAATAGTATTACAGAAATGAAAAGGTCTGATTATAGTAAAAATTCATCATACTTATACATATTATATGATGAAATGTAATGGTTACTAAAAAAATCAAAACATAAGGCTGGTGACTCCAACATACCACAGGTAAGCCATGACAATCCCATCCAAATCTTCTGTCAACATGAAACCCATTTTGGTGAGCATATCTTGTAACTATATCTTTAATTGTCCCAGCAAGTATATGTCCATAGTGAGGCAGCCCAGTTGCAAAAGGAGGCCCATCATAGAAAGTAAATCTAACAGATACAAAAAAGTGTGTTAAGTCACTTTAAAATAGACAGCAAAAATTTAGGACAACACTTTTCTATAGACAGCAACTGTTATAGTGGAGTCTTCAGGAAGAAGAAAAGCAGTGAGACCAGGAAATTCAGATTAACTCATTAGGTATTTACCAGAGGTCCTGCTTTCAAAAAAGCTAGTTATGGGGGAGCTGGAGAGGCCTCCATTGGGCCACTCTTTCTTCACCGATTAGTCCACAATATAATCCAAGTTATACATCCTGATGCTGAATGATGAAGTTATTCATCAGTAAAATAGGGCAATAAATGCTCTGTCTCATAAAGTTTTTGAGCATGAGACACGTGATTAGAAAAATACCACTGGTCTCTAGGTGAATGGAGAGCACAGGCAGACGTATCCTAGCAGAAGGCGACTATTAGCTGAAGGACTTAAGTGAGGTGGTGATAATGAGAAAAGTGGAAAGGAAGAGGGTGATACGTAAACTCTATTCAATAGAGGTCTAAACTTAAATGGTTCTAACATCTGAATTTCATGATACCATTGAAGTTAATCTTTTCACAAGAACTCTTAAACTGAATTTAACCTAATAACTGAGAACTCATCCATTCAATGTATACCTACAACAACTACGAGTACCCACTACATAGAGCCAGGAAACTGGGAATGCAAAGGTGAATAAAAAGTTTGTGCCTTAACAGAACACAGTCTAAGAAATGACTAGGCTTAAGGACTCTACCTTTACCAGGAAATTTACATACTTGGGCCTGTGTTTTGACTGCTTTAAGCATTCTTGAAAACAATTAAACTTGGACCAGAACTGCAAGATTTTCTCTTCTTCAGCAGGAAAATCAATGTTTTCTGGAACTTGTTGAACCATTTTGTTGCTGCAAGAGAAATCAAGTTTATTATTCTCAAGAAAAGTCTAGAAATAACAGATTACCATACATTAAAATGAGTATACATATTACTACATGTTACTTTAAAAATAATTACAGGTTTTTTAGGCATAGTTCACGCACTATAAAGTTCACCCTTTTAAAGTGTACAATTCAGTGATTTTTAGTATACTCACAAGGTTGTGCAACCACAACCACGCTCTAATTCCAGAATATTTTCATCAATGCTCCCTTTCGTCCTCTAAAAACTGTACAGATTAGCAGTCACTCTCCATTCCCTTTCCCCAGCCCTGACAACCATACATCTGCTTTCTGCATCTATGATTTTCCTGTTCTGGACATTCATATAAACAGAATCATGTACGTACAGCCTATTTTGTCTGGCTTCTTTTATTTAGAATTATGTGTTCAAGGTTCATCCATGTTGTAATATGTATTCATACACCACCACTTTTTTATACTGAATAATAGTATTTTATTGTATAAAGATGCCACATTTTGTTTATCCATTCATTAGTTCATGGACATTAGGATTCTTTCCACTTGTTGGCTATTATGAACAATGCTATGAATATATATGTATTTAAGTTTTCGTTGGAACTATGTTTTTAGTTCTCTTGTGTGTGTGTGTGTGCGCATACACACACATACTCACAGAGGAGAGGAATTGGAGGTTGTATCTGTGTAACTTTTAAAAAGATTGCTAGCCCGCCTGGGCATGGCTCAGTAGTTGAGAATCAACCTAGGATCCAAGAGACTGTGGTTCGATTCCAGTCCGGGCATATGCCCAGGTTGCAGGCTCGATCCCCAGTCAGGGGCGTGCAGGAGGCAGCCAGCCAATGACAACTCTCTCATCACTGATGTTTCTCTCTCTCTCCCTTCCTTTCTCTGAAATCAATGGAGATATATATTTTAAAAAAATTGCCAAGATTTTTTTTCATGGCTACTACATTACTTTATATTCTTCCAGCAGCGAACGAGGAGTCACTCCTTATTACCATTACTGTATTAGACGAAGTCCTAGTGGATAGGAAGTGGTAACTCATGGTGGTTTTGATTTGCATTTCCCTAATGATCAGTGATGTTGAGCATGTGTGTACTGGGCATTTTTTACATTTCCTTAGAGAGCTATCTATTTATCCTTTGCCCAATGTATAGTTATCTTTTTATTGTTGAGTTGTAAGAATTCTTTATTCCAGATACAAGCTCCGCCTGTTATAAAATTTGCAAAAATTTCTCCCATTTTGTGGACTGTCCTTTTATTTTCTTCATGTTATTACATATTTCTAATTCTGGTGAAGACCAGTGTACCTATTTTTTGTTTTGTTTCTTGTGCTTTCAATGTCATGTCTAAGAAACCACTACCTTAAACAAGGTTGCGATTTTTTAGCTTGTATTTAGGTCATTGATCAATTTTGAGTTATTTTTGTAATAGTATAAAATAGGGATACATGGTATTTTTAAATTATTGCAAAACTTGTCTCAAAATCACACTCTTCACCCATTTTTCAACTACAATATAACATTTAGTAGATAAATTGCTTCTAAGAGAAAACAAGAAAATCCTGGGAATTCTTGGTCAGAGCAGTCGCAGAGTGCTGACTCTCACGCTAATCCCCTAGGGTCCTACTAAAACGCAGGCACCGGCTCCTCATCTGGAGGCGAGGCTGGCGAGTGCGCTCTAATAATGACAATAAAAGTTCAGTAACAATCTAAAAAAAATCTCGAAATAGGTTAAGAATTAGTACCTACACCCACAGGACAGAAAGCACTTCTGTTAAAATAACTTCGGCCCTCTGACCTCATTTGTTAAATCTCAATCGCACTCACTTGCTACTGAGGAATGACAAGACCTAAAACACTTGTGACGCTAGTAAGGTGAGAACCTCACATTCAAACAACTCCCAGCTCACTCAATCTCCTACTTATCCTAGTGGCTGCTTTTTCACTCCTTTCGGGAAGGACACGCCCTACAGCTCCGGCCCAGGCCCCGGGCGCCGCGGGCGCCCGCGCGGCAGCGCCTCCCTCTCGCTCCCC